TAATTATTATATATATACTTAAACAATTGATATTACTATAACAATTTCGTTGAATTCTTTAGATTTTTGAAAGGGAATTATGAATTGTGTGCGTTCCTTTTACAGCGCAGATGTACGGATGAGTAATCATCGTCAGTTGAATTCATATAACTAATTTATGCTAGTGGGGATATCAAGTATAGTTTCCACCAGTTCACATTGAGTATAAATAGTAACCATATGTTTCCAGAAGTTAACAGTCATTGTTCAACATCAACATCATCAACATGAAGTTCCAAGTAACATCTACACCATAGATTAAAATAACAAATAATAACATTATTTTTCAGTTTTGGGTAGTCGCAGTACTTTCGGCCTTAGTTCTCGTTCAAGCGAGCGAGAAGAAGGCTGATGGGAAAACCTTAGTCGACAAAAAGGAAAAGAGAGGATTATTGGATTTGGGCTATGGAGGAGGTAGTTTTGGAGGACATGATTTGGGTGGCTGGTGAATATTGGAGGAGATTTAGGACATGGATTTGGAGGAGGATTTGGTGGAGATTTGGGACATGGATTAGGAGGAAACTTGGAGGTGATTTGGGACATGGATTAGGCGGAGGACTTGGTTCAGGTGGATTTGGATTAGGAGGAGGGTTTGGAGGAAGCATTCAAACTCAAGGACATGTTAAGCACATCACCATCCACAAGGAAACACCTTATCCAGTACCACATCCAGTTCCTATCCAGTTGAGAAGACTGTACCATACACAGTCAAATATCCAGTTCATGTACCAGTCGATAAGCCATACCCAGTTCATGTGCCAAAACCATACCCAGTTCCAGTCGATAAACCTATTCCATACACTGTTGAAAAGACCGTCCCATACCCAGTCAGTGTACCTGTAAAGGTACCAGTCCCACATCCCATACCCAGTACCAATTCCAAAACCAGTCCCATACACTGTTCACAAGCAAGTCCCATACCCAGTCAAGGTACCAGTCATCGTACACAAGCATATTCCAATCTACGTTAAAGGACATGATAGTGGACTTGGAGGAGGATTCGGTGGAGGAATTGGAGGCGGATTCAGTGGAGGACATGGATATGGACACCATTAGAAACAATGACTGCTCTAATTAAAATTTAAAAAAAATGTAATATTTGTACCAAAATAATTATACCAAATGTTTAGTTGTATTAAATGTAAACAATAAGAAATAACGTTCTTTCTTTCAACTCCTATTTATAATTATGAAATATTTCAAAGAGAAACCAACATAGTTTCATTAATTTAGTTGGATTTTTAATATTTGTATATTAACTTATATTTATAAATCAGAAAGATTAATATATTATAGGCTATATCTAAAGTAAATAACCATGGTTATATATCTATAGACTGTTTATATGAAATTATAGCAAATCAAATATCATTATTTACAAAATTAAAATGAGTTAAATGAAATGATAGTATTAATAAATCACGATTATCTCTTGTAGCATAATTCTTAAATTGTTTCAAAAACAATTGATTATTTTTTCTTCATACTTTGTGGAGATTCTTTCCATTTTTGTCTTTACGTACATATTAGGACCAATAGAAATATTTTTTATGTGCTTTATCTTATTAAAATATTTTATGATGTAGAGGATTTCATGATAATATTGGATGATCCTAATCATTAAATAAAAGCAGACATAATAATCGATATATCAACATTTCTATTATTACACTTTGCATATTATAAATTTTAAGTATAGATATTATTATTTTATTTGCTGCTTAGTAAACACGGAATTGATAAAAATATAACGAAAAATCATTAAATGAATTATTGTCATTTACAATTCGTAATATCAAATATTCATAAAGTGAAGATCCCTGTATTATTTTTAACGTACATATTTTAATTGCATTCTTAGAAATGTGTAGATACTAAAATATTTTTCAATTATTAAATAATATTTATATTTAAACAATTGATATTACTATAACAATTTCGTTGAATTCTTTAGATTTTTGAAAGGGAATTATGAATTGTGTGCGTTCCTTTTACAGCGCAGATGTACGGATGAGTAATCATCGTCAGTTGAATTCATATAACTAATTTATGCTAGTGGGGATATCAAGTATAGTTTCCACCAGTTCACATTGAGTATAAATAGTAACCATATGTTTCCAGAAGTTAACAGTCATTGTTCAACATCAACATCATCAACATGAAGTTCCAAGTAACACCTACACCATAGAATTAAAATAACAAATAATAACATTATTTTTCAGTTTTGGGTAGTCGCAGTACTTTCGGCCTTAGTTCTCGTTCAAGCGAGCGAGAAGAAGGCTGATGGGAAAACCTTAGTCGACAAAAAGGAAAAGAGAGGTTTATTGGATTTGGGCTATGGAGGAGGTAGTTTTGGAGGACATGATTTGGGTGGTAATATTGGAGGAGATTTAGGACATGGATTTGGAGGAGAACTTGGAAGTGATTTGGGACATGGATTTGGAGGAGAACTTGGAGGTGATTTGGGACATGGATTTGTTGGAGGACTTGGTTCAGGTGGATTTGGATTAGGAGGAGGGCTTGGAGGAAGCATTCAAACTCAAGGACATGTTAAGCACATCACCATTCACAAGGAAACACCTTATCCAGTTCCACATCCTGTTCCTTATCCAGTTGAAAAGACTGTACCATACACTGTCAAATATCCAGTTCATGTACCAGTCGATAAGCCATACCCAGTCCCAGTTGATAAACCAATCCCATAACTGTTGAAAAGACGTCCCATACCCAGTCAGTGTGCCAGTAAAGGTACCAGTCCCACACCCATACCCAGTACCAATTCCAAAACCAGTTCCATACACTGTTCACAAGCAAGTCCCATACCCAGTCAAGGTACCAGTCATCGTACAAAGCATATTCCAATCTACGTTAAAGGACATGATAGTGGAATTGGAGGAGGATATGGTGGAGGAATTGGAGGCGGATTTGGTGGAGGACATGGATTTGGACACCACTAGAAACAATGACTGCTCTAATTAAAATTAACAATATTTTGTATTTAAAATATACTGTTTGTACCAAAAATATGAAACCAAATGTTTATTTTAATTAAACGTAAATAACAAGAAATTCTATACTTTATTTAAACTACCTATTCATAATGATAATGTTTTACACGAAAACTTCTTATTTTCTATATATTAAACTCTAGATGTCAGCAAGACTGATATACTGCTGGCTACAAATTAGAAAAATAATGAAAGATATTTTAAGTAAATATGTACTACTAACATTATATTACAATATCGCAAATTATTATGTGAGTAATTGACATAATGTATCAATGATATGCATTAAACGAAAATGTTGTAGTGTTTGATATAATTGATTATACAACTTAAACTTACATGTAAAGTTATAGTCATTATAATTGCTCATTTGTAGATAATATATTATAATCTTATTATTTCTGGTTTATAGTTATTGACAATAAATTCCATATTTAAATTTTGTACAACTTATAGGCACTTTATATACATTTATTTTATCTTATTAAAACAAGATAATATTGGATGATCCATAGCACCAAATCATCAAATAAAATTGACATCGTGGTAACGATTTTTTTATAAATATATAATTCTACATTTAAATAAATAAATTATTATTATTTTAAATGCTACTTTATATAAATAGAATTGATAGAGTTACTACTCAAAATCATAAATTTGAAGCTTTATTGCAAATTCACAAATGTAATTACAAATTTTAAATTATTATTGTCATATATAAAAAGTAATATCTAAAATTCATATAGTAAACATTTTTAATAATTGACTTATGATTATTTTTATTAATGACTATTCAATACGGAAAATAAAACGAGAAATCATAATCCACTAATGGATGATAGACTGCAAATCCTAAAACGGAATGAAGTAAACTTTTATGTCACATATAATTCGAAATATTAAATATTTATGGTGTGAAAATTATAAATATTTAAATTAGGTACTTGTATTACAGTAAATATTAAACTGGCGTCCACCGACGATTTGCTCCCCTAATGCGGAAGCTTATGACATCCGACGTCATCAGGTGGAGCGGAAACATATACATGAGGTATGAAGGCCACGTATATTTGTATTTGTATATCATTATTCGCTTAGAGTTGTATAATTTTTATTAATTTTGAATAATCTATACGAATTCTTAAAATGTTTGAAGGGTAATTATGAGTATTGTGCATTCATTTTGCAATATAGATATACGGATGAGTAATCAGCGTTAGTTGAATTCGTACGACTAATTTATTCTAGTGGGGATAAAAAGAATAGTTTGTGTTGTTTCAACCACATCACAATGAGTATAAATAGTAACCATATCTTCCCAGAAGTTAACAGTCATTGTTCAATCTCATCAGCATCATCATGAAGTTCCAAG